TAATAAATTTAATTAAACCACCCTTAGTTTGTAATAATTGTTCCATTTTAACTTGATTATTAATTAATAATTGAATACGTCTTTCAATTTCTCTTATTTGTTTTTCTATTTTTGTATTACTTTTAATTTGTGATATTAATACTTGTTTAATTAAATTCATTTCTTCAATTAATGGTTCTTCTTCTAATAATGAAAGTGATGATTTTATACTTTTAATTAATTCTTTATCACTTATCATTGTTTCATTATTATTTGTATTTAATATATTATTATTATTTGAATTATTATTTGAAATATTATTATTATTATTACTAGTATTTGTAATGTTATTATTATTATTATTAGATAAGGATGATGATGATGATATATTATTAAAAGTATTAGCAGTTAAAGTTGATGTATTTTTTAAAGGATGAGAACTTGATTGAATATTTGGTTGTATAAATAATTGTTGTTGTTGATATTGATCAATTTCATTACCATTTATAGAAATAATAAAAATAAAAGTTCCAGAATGTAAAGGATTAAAAGTAATTTCATATTCATACATTAAATTATTATAATATTCTAATGGTATTTGATCATCAAATCTTAAATTTAATAAATTATTTAAAGAATGTATTGGATTTACTATACATGGAATTTTAATTTGATTATTTTTATCATTTTTTAAATAAATTTCAATTTTATCAATTGATTGAGTTAAATTATTAAATTTATCTTTAAATAATAAATTTAATTTTGATTTTTCATTTTGAATACAACATTTTAAACATTCACCTTTAAATTCAATATTTTTAATTTCCAAAGATGGTAATATTAAAATATCTTTAATAATTGAAATTTTAGAATTATAAATAATTTCAATTGTATATAAATCAGATTTAAAATAATTAAATGAAATTAAAAATGTATTATTATTATAAATTTTAATTAAATGTTCAATTTCAAATTGTTCTAATGTATTTTTAGAAATTAATAAAATTGTAAATTTAGTTAATTCATTTTCTAAATTTGTTAATCTAATATTTCCAAATTCATCATTTAATTGTATTTGAAATTCTAAATTATCATCAACATTAAATATATTTATATTATTATTTAATAATTTAATATTACTAGTTTGTCCACTATCAATTATTTTAATTAATTTATTTTTTATAATTTCATTATTTAAATAAATATTTAAATTATAAATTGATGATTGTGTTATATTTAAATTTACTTGATAAGTTCCATCATTACAATCAAATATATTTAATTTTTCATTTATATTTGTTAATTTGGAAATTAATTCTACTTGGAAATTTTCACCTCCTGATTTTCTTAAATTTCCATATATATCTTTTGCTTGTATTATAAATGATTGTGTTATTAATTCATTTCCATTTTGTGCTTTAAATATTAACATTTCTTCATTTTCTATATTTATATTTTCATTTAAATTTTCTAAATTTAAATTATAATTTTTAAAAATAATTTCACATTGTTTTGGACAACTTTTACCACCATCTTTAACACAAATTTCATGATTTGATAATAAATTTAATGGTTTTACAATTTCATTTTCATTTAATAAAATATTAAATTTAAAATTACCACTTTTAGGACATGTATATTTAAATTCATAAATACCATTTAATAAATCATTAACTTTACAATCAATTTTATCATTATTATTATTATATAAATAAC